TATGTGATATATTTGAACAACAAAGTGGTCAAACATTATTTTATTCATTTATTGGAAACATTTTCATGATCACTTTTTTCGTTTATACATTTTAAGAATGGCGTTTATCTTTTTTGAGAACGAGTTCTTATTTTATTTTATTTATTTGGGTCTACAACAGATGACACAAATGTATATGTCAGTAAATGTGTACTAACAGAGGCGGGGGTGCGTGTGAAAACAACGGGGACAGAGCTGCTGTCAGACATCAGCTGCTGTCAGACATCAGCTGTGTGGTGTCATCACAAACGGACGTCGCTTCACGTGACGCTCCGGAGGAAAGGACGTCCCATTGCTCTTAAAACTAATTTCCCTGCTTCTCGTGGTTTCCTTGCATCTCTCCGTGCTTCCCTGGTGGGAGGGACTAAACACAGGGAAACGACGCAAGTGAGGGACGCAAGGATTCCATTTAATGGACCTGAGATGGGCCCTCTGTGTGTGCTCTACGAGACACGTGGATGAGGGAAATCACCGGAAGTTCTACGGAATATCCGGGAAAGCATTGTTGTATATGTTGGATCCTCGACAGCAAACTACAAAACTACGTTCTTGCCTGGACATTGGATAATGATTCCCTGCATAAGATTTGCTTTTTGGAGACTCAGTGGCAGTTTTATTTTGAGTACATTTTCTGTTTTGTTTCTTTATTTTTCGCCACTACAATAACATTGATCATATCGACAGAGTTTTTGACTTACTTAAGTTCATTGTAACACTGTTTTAGTTACTCAAAAGCATGCCCCGTCGTGACCGTACCTCTGAGCCAGATCCGCCGCCTCCTTGGCAGCACAGCCGTTGACCAGCAGGGACACATTGGAAATGCCTCCAGACTTGAAGCAGTCCACAATCCCCTGGTTTCTTCTGGGACAGTAGCCAAAGTCATCTCCCGTCACCACCAGCATCATTCTGGGCTGTGGCATTATTGCTGATCTCTGTGAGCACACAGGAGACAAATTAAAGCCTGCATTTGTAAGGAGACTATAACCCCAAATGCTCCAGATGTTTATATCATTGTAGCTCGCTGCCTTCAGTGTTTGAGTGTTGGTCTGAATGGTTGAATGAGAAACAGCTCGAAGTGTACATTTACATTTCTGTAAATCACTCGCAGCAGTGAGACTCACACCTCCAGCTATCTGCACTTTAATTAGCCACGTTTCTGCATTAGATGATATTTCAGCTGTGACTCTTGCTCGCACATGAGTGCACGACACAAGCACTTTTTGTTAAAGTCACTCTAGAATGACAACTGGATTATTACAGAAAACTTTGAAACAAATAAAAACATAATGTTTGATTGATTGACTGATTGAGGAAAGTGAAAAAGACAACTTTCTCTTTGTGTTACGTAATTGAACATTAGCTTCCATCAACCTTAGCAAACACATTATATACAGTATATAAATGCTACCACAACTTGGCAACTTATTAGCAATAGCTGTGACTTTGAATTCAAATGCAAAAATATGGTTGTCAAATGTCACACAAACATTTGACATAATAATACTTACATTATTATTTGTATCAATTTTTGATCGTCATAATAAGATTACGTAGGTACACACTGAGGACATGTCTTTTAAATGTTCCTAGAACTACTAAGTATCATATAAAATAAAAAAAAATAAAAAAAGCTTGCACCAAGATATTAACTAACAAAAAAGCTTGCTCATTCCTCTTTATCATTCCTCTGGCAATTCTTGTAAAAGAACACGTATCCCAGTACAAGTGTAGGGGAAAGAAAGCCCAGTAGTAGGTAAACCAATGTAACGACACAGCAATACATGGGTTAATCCAGAGCTGGAGGACATTTAGACCTTAACATTTGAAGAATTTGAACCCTTTCTTTCTCATTTTGCAGTTTTGTATTTGAGAAAATCAAGTAGTAAATATCACAAAAACTGATTTCATTTGTGATGTCTCAGTGGTACATATTTAATTTGATGTTTTATTTGTTACTTTTTGACAGTGCTCAATAGTGGGCTAAAACTATGAAATCAATAGAAAGCAATTTTAAAAATGCTATCAACCTCTTGATCTAACTATAATTGAATCACAGTTGTGTTCATTTTGAGTTAATTGATAAGAAAAAGTGTTAATTATTGCAATATTACCATGCTTAGGCTCAATGGTGTCAATAACAAAGAGGAATTTCATATTCTGGGAAAATAGAGCAATACATACTATGCTTAATTATATATAAAGATTTCAATGTATTAAAGACAATCAATTGTACTGTAGGCAATTCAATTCTGTAACTATTATTACTTCAATTAAAGAAACAGGGTTGCAAATCTGACTCATATTAGCTTTTACCTCAGGAATTAATGCTAAGCTGCGGAATGTAATGCTACGTTCAAGGCAAGGACAGACCTTTATTTAACTATAGAAAGAGAACTTTGAAATGAATATATCTTATGCTGATAATATGGGTAACAGGGTTTGGTTGGTTAGGGTGCCACACTCACAAGAAAAGTATGACAAATAAAAGAGAGGACATGTTGGTCAGTGACAGTGTACAACATAATGCTCTAATTGACTGTCCATTAACTCTGGTTATCTCTTTTGTGGTGCGGTGTAGTATTTGTTCTATATTGGTTGATTGCACACTACAATGGGGACCAAATAGATATTTGAATAAAACACCAGAGTACCACAGAAGTGAACCTACTCCATTCTATTCATTCGCCGGCTCATAAGGTGACATTGAAAAGCAGAGGATTTATGAGGGCACAAGCTGTAACACCGCAGGCACGTTACCTCTTGTGGCTCCCACTAACAGAACATTATCCTATTTTATAAACTCAAAATCTTAATCTTACCCATTGTACTTCACACGTTTGTCCATAAGTGTCCGAAGCCACCTAAACACGGTGGAAATATAGAGCACTTCCGACTAGCACACAGCACCGGTGTAGTGTAAGGAGAGCAAACCGAACATTGCGTCCCACCCAGCCGCCAAAAAAACTTTCAAAATAAGACTTCTAAATCTCAAATGAACAAAAACGACAAAACTGGATACTAAGGCATTCTTTAATTAATCTCTTATTTATTGTGCTAGTGGAGCCTCGCAGCGGCGAAACCGCTCCTGTGTGTGGGGATTGCCCACAGTATTGAGTATGTAAGCCACTTTGGATAAAACCGTCTAACAAGTAACATGGTCAATGATAGAAATATAGAATAGAAAATATCAAAAAGATACTGTAAATGGTAGGCTAATGTGTGTTGATTGTTATGTGTACCTGCCCAAGGACTGCAGTCAGAAATGAGCTTTTAGCTATAATGTGGCATAAAGCATCTCTTCTCTTTGAGATTAATGTCTTTTTATGCATGGTCCTTGTTCAATAAAGAGCTCATATTTATAATAATACTAAATAATAATGTTGCCCTTAGTTAACCTTCTTAACACATATGTCTACTACATGTAACATGTAAAAAAAGCAACACACCAATTTATAATAAATATTGTTGTACATCTGATACAACTTCAGGGCCTTTATTTTGAAGGGATTCTAACGGAACATTTATTCGACTGAAGGCACGTTATCCTCTTTTTCAACAGAAATGTTGAAGTGTAAATTCGTTTTACTAAGAACAAGTTAGTTACTTCTAGTTTTTAAGTGTAAAGTTAGCCACTGCAGGTTCGCTGGAAAGTCTCCGACAGATAAACGATACCATAAAGCGGTCAGAAAACTAGTTCAACCCCGTGTCTTTCATCAGGACTTGATTTATATATTTATTTAAAATGTAACATGTTTTTATGTATGTATATTCTCAGATGTGGGAGAAGGACAAGTACTCAGGTGTGGTACTTCAGTAAAAGTACAAGGGTTTCAAAAATACTAAGTAAAAGTAGAAAAGTATCAGAAATTCAGAATCACAATAAACTTAATGTACCAAAAGTAAAAGTAGTCATTGTGCAGATTGGTCCATTTCAGAATAATAGATATGATATGTTTTATAATGATTGATCATGAAAGTGTTCTCCAAGCTGGTAAAGGTGCAGCTAGTTTTGTGAATTTACTCCAGGTGGAACTAAAGTCTGATTTAACACTTGATTAGATTTCACATCATTCATCCACATCTGTAAAGTAACTAAAGGTATTAAATACATGTAGTGGAGTAAAAGTACACATGTTACCTCTGAATTGTAGTTGAGTAGAAGTACTAAGTACTCAAGTGAAGTACAATTGTAGGCTAAGTAAATGTACTTATTTACCAACCCCCTGTCTATTTTGTATATATTTAATTTACCCATACCTCACCTGAACAGTTTTCCTGAACATAACTTCGGCGGTGAACAGCCTCTGCACACAGAGTTGTAATCACAAACTGTGACTGTACGGACAGGTGTGGTACTCAGCTTGAAATACAAAAGTAGCAAAGGGAAAATATCTTCAGAATCCAGTATTTACCTGAAGCACCTAATTAGAATTTAAAATAAGAAGAAGAATTGGGAGGGATGAAACCCTCTTTAATGGTCACACATGTAGAGCACACAGCACACACAGTGACATGTGTTCTCTGCTTTTAACCCATCCTAATAGGAGTCTAGTACTAGGAGCAGTGGGCAGCTATTGCACAGTGCCCGGGGAGCAATGGGAGTGAGGGGGGAAGGGGGATGTCTGGTGACTTGCTCAAGGGCACCACGGCAGGGCCCAGGAGGTGAACAGGGACCTCTCCAAGTAGCAGTCCACACACCATACTGTCTAGTTCGGGACTTGAACCAGCGACCCTACAGCTCATCAGCTAATAATGCATAGTGCATAATCCAAATAGAGTAGCTACGTTCTCAAATGTCTGTTCTTTAAATAAAATGTGGATATTTTTAAACAATTAAATCAGGATATATCTGATGAAAGTAAAGACTTGGAGTAACTGTTAACCCCAACTTCTAATGACTTTTACCTAACGAGTGTTGTGTAATAATGTCAGTAGGCCTATCACAAGGAAATTGTGACATGTTGTTTACCATTAGTCATTTATTATCAAAAATATGACACGAATGCAGCAGTACACAAGTGCTATGACTTGAAGCCAGTACGCTCTGTTACATATAATGTTATGGCTTCCGACTTGTGTCAGTAAGCCTGTTCGATACCATTTCTTAATAGATAACCATCCACTGCTTTATATTCCGACCATTTGCCAAGCCACTGAGGAAAATATCATAAGTCTTCATGTGGGCAAAGCCTGTGAAAATAAATGTAGTTTACCATTTATGTTTAATTGTCCAAATAACTTTTGTTGACAGAGTCCAGCTTCTAGTTATTGTCCTTCACCCACTGCTCAGACCACTGGATGATCTGCTCCAGGTTGCGGTCCATGTCCTCAGGATTGTTGCTGGTGAGCTGGTGGACGATGTCCTCGCTGTAGGCCTCCATGGCCTCCTCGTAGATAGTCTGGAAGATCTCGCACTGCACGTTGTCCTGCAGCTTCTTCCCCGCATACCCCCTGTCATCAAACAGAGTCCACCTCAGACAGAGTGCAACAACCTTCTAATGAGTGGAACAGGGTCCTCGTGTAGTAAAGCAGACATGTATATGGTTTTCTTCATCAGCATTACTTGCATATTGGTCTCGCAACATAACCTGCACTATTTGGTTCTACTCTGTTTCTTCTTGCACTATTTTTAAATTAGTTTGATCGTTTTATGTCTTATACATTTTGTTGCATTGTTGGAGGGGCTTGGGACTTAAGGTTCATTGGCATAACTACACTGTAGCTCCTCTGAATATGACAATAAAGCCTTTGAATCTTTGAATTAAATCCATAACTAAACATATCTAAGGGGTTACCCAATAGAGTTGAGTTGATGAGTGTAATCATTTCATTGCTCAGTACAACTGCCCGTTATACTGTTTATATGACAATAGACAAAATATCTTGAATCTTGAGTGGTAGGCAGGGATTAGTCAAGCCATCAATGTTTCTTCAGTGCGGTTACACAGAAGTGCTGCAAATATTTAGTCAATTAAATTAAAAAAATTAAAATCTACAACTGTTTTGATAATCAAGAAAAGTAATTTTGCATGCAAACATGTCAGAAGGTAGAGCTTGTACCATTTGTAGCCATGGCAAATGGGGGTAAAATTCAGACCTGCCTGTTGGGAGTGTTGTCAGCCATTACAGAACATGACATTTTGAGCCATAGTCTATAGTGCCCCAGCATTGACATACCACTCAGATTCTGCATGCCACTATGTGTGAGTGTTTTTAATCTTAGCACATTGCAGGCCCTAGTTGGATGTGGGAAAGACATGCATTAAACAGGTTCACTGTATATCAGAAGTGTACGTTACCTGCTCTCTAGCCGCGTGTACAGCTGTGTGTTGTCTGTGCGGAGGACAAAGACGATGTGGAACCAGCGCTCAGGGAACAGGTCACAGCCATGATAGTCAATGATCATCCCACCGTCTACCATCTGGTCATCCAGCTCATCCACCACCTGCAAAAGGACAATAAGGCCACTTTAACATACCCTTAACCTAATTCAATCTGAAGAAATCATTTGCATTATTTAGTGGCAGAAGGAGGAAACAGCATCACCTCCTCCTTCACTTCTCAACAAGATGTTAGTGCACTAAGTTGTGTTTTGAGGAGGGGCTCCAAAACCCCGCCAGCACCGTGCTGGTTGGCTCAGGTTTCCACTCCATTTCAAATTACCACACAAAAGAGTTTGTGCAGAATTTCACCTACAGCTATTCAAAGAGAATAATAATGTGACATACAGTGGGGCAAAAAAGTATTTAGTCAGCCACCAATTGTGCAAGTTCTCCCACTTAAAAAGATGAGAGGCCTGTAATTTTCA